GTCCCCAGACCTGAATCACACATGAAAGTAGTAGTAAGCGGTTACCCATACTTGCATGTTAGGAGGTTTAGCGAAAACACATAGACATGTTATGACCTTGAATCTTCTTCACATCCCTTATATCACATTGGAAGCAGGACTACAAGATCTCTGGCTATGGTAGAGATTATTCCATAGAGGAACCTGGGCCCAGAGGCCACTGGAGGACTTGTGGTGGGATCAGTGTTGACCGTGGTGGAGTATGGAGTTAGGGAGCCCACGGCCATCAAGAAGAGGAGGAGATAGTTATGGAGGTAGTACAATTGGGAAGACCATGAAGGGGCTAACAGCAATGACAGAAGTGGTAGGAATGGCAGTGCAGATGGCAGAGGGGAGCCGTGGTAGAAACGATGATGCCCAAAGACAAGAGCCGTGGCAGGGGGGATGGGGTAGGGATGATGGAAGGGGTGAGGGAGACGATGATGCTAATGATGCTAACAATGGTGATGGAGGTGGAGGGGATGAAGGTGGTAGCAGGGGAAGTGGTCGTGAAAACGGCAGTGTTGACATGGCGATGGTGGCGATGACGTGGCAATAGCGGTGGGATGATGGCTAGAGCAGATGTGGAGAAGGTGGTGATGACGGCAGAAGGGAGGAGCAGTGGTGGTGATCTTGACTCCAATACCACTTTGGCATTCTGTTCCCTAACTCTCACGGACCTTGCTCTCTTTCTGGGGACTGTCAATCTGTTCCGCCCACTTGTCCTGTGCCTCATCAGTTCCAAGCGAGGGAGTGCACTCCATGTGCCTTGGGCGGGGGAATCCAAGTAGCAGAGGAAGCAACACGTATCCCCAAGCAGCGGCCAAAGTGACTCAGGCTGAGATGTTGTAAGGTATTGCCCTGGCCTGTGGGCAGACATGCAGGAGCCACAGGGACCCACCCAACCACGCCTGTAGACCTGGAGAGCAGGTCTCCTGACCTCTCAGAAGGAAGCAGTCACTCTGGTGAATGCTAAATTCCCGGCCCTCTTCTCCTTTACAAACCCACAGCTGGCCTCCTCTAGAGTACCCCTCTGTTCCACATGTTTCCCCAGCCACCAAGCTCCTCCTCTCCGAGTCTCCTAAGATTCTATTGACCAAGACCCAGGTCTCATTTTATGACATAATTGTGAGTACAGGCACTACAGCAGTGTTTCTTCAAGCAGAGTTCTTGTGCCACCCTGCTAGCAACCAAATACTTGAGAAAAAGGGGATTACCGGTGGGTATTAGTCAATTCCCCCAACAAAAAAGAGAGCGAGTTCAAGTTACCATCGTCTCACCATCACCACTATCACTACCATCATCATCACCATCATCACCATCACCACCACCATCACCACCACCATCACCACCATCATCACCATCATCACCACCATCATCATCACCATCATCATCATCACCACCATCA